ACCTGCAGCGGAGTTTAGGTCCAGACACGGCTAGTGATGTCAGACTCAACAACCGGATAGCTTTTGGGAGGTATTCAGAAATTTCCATATAATACAAGAAAACCCACTACAGTTATGTAGTGCACTTTCAACCGGTGTTAAAGGCCAGAACAAACTGAACGAGTTACAATTAAGAGTATCTGTAAATGATTAATTGATAGTAATTTGTGTGTCACTTAGGCGCAAAGTCAGTCTGTGGGAGCCACGATTGTTTATTTCACTCAGTAACTTGTAAATCAATTTATAACTTTTATGTTATGTATTTTTCTAGATGTTTGGTTGTTGGCTGTCTCTCTCCATTAAAATCAAATTGCCATAAAAATGTGAGACTCTTCATTTCTTTCTAAGTGAACAAAAATACAAATTCAGCAGGGGGTCAAATTATTATTTTCCTCGCTGCTCAAAAAAAAATTTAAGGATGACTTTTTTATCAGAGTTTGGGGGTTGTTTCAGTTTAGCTGCTTTGGTGTTAATGAAATAAACAACAGGTACACCAGGGGCAACAACGAGACAACCCCCAAAACAGAAATGGTTCTACAGATGGAGGTCGCTGACAGTTTTCCTCTCCTTGTCTTTTTTTACTGTATTTCCCTAGTTTTGCATTTGGCTAGAATCAGTGACTTAATTGTTGCATGATGATATTTGTAGACCCTACAGAGGTTGCAGAAGTGGTCAAAGTCCTTCAGGATGGCGAATCAATATGTGCCATTGCCAGAAGGTTTGCTCTGTCTTCCAGCACAGTCAGAAGAGCATCGAGATTTCCAGGAGTCAGGCAGTTGCTCTAGGAGTTGGGCAGAGGTGTTAAAGATCGTTAACCCATAAGCAGAACTAGTATCTGCTCTTTTGTGCAAAGAATTACAGGACTGCACTGCCACAGCCCAGAATGTCTCCAAACAATCAGAAACAGACTTCATGAGCATGGGCTGAGGGTCTCCAGTGGGCCCCGTGCTAAATACCCACCACCATGGAGTCCTATTGGCATTTGCCTTACAACACCAGAATTAGTATGTCCACCAATGGCACTTTCACAGATGAGAGCAGGTTCACCTTTAGCACCTTTGACAGACATGAAATGTTCTGGACAAGCTGTGGAGAATGATATACTGGATGATATGATATGTAGCATCATTCAGCATGACCTGTTCGGTGGTCTGGGAAGGCATATCCTTGAACGTACGCACCTCTACCTAATGACTGATAGCTAATAGCACAAACCTGCCATTTCGTATTGCGATGAAATCTTTGGAAACTTTATCCAGTCCATACCAGTATAGAGAGACAGCATGATGTTTTCTTCAAACATGTGCTGGTGTGCTCAGTGTAGCAGTGAGGGCAGAATAAAACAAAATTCAACAAATGTTCAGCTATGAATTAATTAAGCTTTTCTTGCAAACAACCAACAATGGTTATGTTTTGTACAATAAGCTTAAAAAATGTTTTAAACTTTTGAAATTATCTTTGATAAATTCAAATCTCTCATGTCAACCTAATGTTATGAAAATAAAGTATTTAGTACAAGTAGCTAAAGTGGGGGTGGGGAAAAAATCTGTCCTGCAGATATGTTCTTGATCCAACACAGCTGATTTAAATGGCAAATTACCTCCTCAACATGTCTTGAAGTTCTCCAAAGGCCTGGCAATGAACTCTTCATTTAATTCAGATGTGTTGACCTAGGGTGATATCTAAAACCTGAAGGACAATGGCCCTTGAGGCCCCGAGTTCCCTACCCCTGATCTAAAGCATGAGTAGAGGGGAGACCTATCTTGCCAAACAAGGCTGCTTGGGATCCAAAGCTTTGGAGTACTGTCCTTCATTTCACTACAATTGACAGAGAAATGTGATACTTTTACATTTCCACAGCAACCAGTTTTAGATCTTGGTCTCCAGCAGAGCTCTCTTTTTTTAAATGAGCCATCCAGGAATCTCTGCTAACTCACGAGGTTCACAAGGCCACAGGGTCTTTTAGATTGTTTAAAATTCAGAATAGATATTCCCATGCTATTTACATAAAAAAGAAATTTATTTAAGTGTTTCAGAAAACTGAGCTTGATTTCTGCTCTTATTATACTAAAAGCTACCTCTAACAATATATAGATGCTGCTGCTTATGCCTACTGTATCCGTATGGAGAGTTCTCTTCGTCTGTCTGATGTGCATGCTCTCTCTGTGACTGATTCCCTGCTGAACATTCACTCAGTTCCACTTTGTGCACAGAGACTTCCCTGTCTGAAAAATATTCTCAAAGCCATATAAAAAGCAAATGCGATTGGGAACCTTTTTTCTTGGTTGTGGCGTGACACTAATTTAGTTCGCCTCACACTTCCAAGGCAATTAGCTTTGAAGCTTCTCAGAAACTATTCTTGCACCAGTCGATAGCTAGCATGGCAAGTAAGAATTTAAGCAGGTCCATTGGGCAACAACTGATAAATATATCAAATGAGGTTACACTGAAAAAGAGAAACCTAAAAGAATAAAGAAAATATAATTACTTCACCAATTTCACTGGTTGCCCGGCCCTTCATTACTGGCCAGAGGTATGAAAATTTATATCTGACTGGCTTTGACTTGATGAGCACAACAAACTGCAAGTTTTTTTGTGAGGAAACTTTGATGATTAAACCATGTAATGATACGTTCACTGAAGCACATTTTGTGTAAAGGAACAGCCTATGCATGCATTTAGGACACCAGAAAAATTGAATATACATACATTTAACTTACCGTATACTGTTAATTGAATGTTCATTCTCTATGCGATTTGTAAATGAACTCAGACATGTTCATGTTTCAACGCATGATGAGACTCATGTGGTTGTTTGATGATTTTTTTTTATTAGGTGATTGATAATTGATAAATTATAACAAAATATCTTCTCAGAGTTTTTACAAACCTGATTTATTGATCATTGTAAGCTTATAGGTGTATACTGCAATCTTGTCACTTAAAAACAAGTCGAATGGCCACAACTTCATTATTTTACCTGTTATGGAACTTGAAACTTGACACTGATACCCAAGACGGTGAAAAAAAGGTTCTTGTTTTCCATGTTGCTCGGATCTAATTCGAACCAATTACACATCACCACTTCTTAATGTGGTGTTAAAAGGGTATGATCATTTCATGTTATTTTTTCGCTTAGAGCATTGCAAGAAGCTGTTAAGGGCTCAATATCTTGAAAAGGAGTGTGGATTGTGTTTTAGAAAGGTTATTAACTTTTAGATATGAATTAAGCAGTGTGAAAATATGCCACCTAATTTTACAGTGGCGCTAGTAGTAAGCACATTCTGTTGTTATCATGCATTCACCACTTACGCTGTTTTTCCCACTCCAGTGACAAAAAATCAAGATATATTTACAGTAAAATGCAGACTGAGTTTCCTCGTTTACGGATGCCCCATAAATATGTTGTTGTAACATTGATCCAAAAAGGGATAAAAATGAAGTTTACATCTCTGTAGCAGCAACTTGCATGCTCCCAAACACATCTGCAAAGGGTTAAAGTAGCGAAAGTCCGCGGTGATCTGAAAATGATGTGCCGGGAGTTGTGCCGTTCTCAGCGGCTCCAGTGACTCTCAAGCTCTCGGCTACTTATCGAGCTGGTGGGTAGCAGACGTCTCCGAAAACGTCAGAGCACTTTTGCAAATATGCAATATCTTGATAAGCCGAGCAGATATTTGAAGTTTACACACCCACATTCTCGCCTGAAAATTAGTTGAAACTTTATTTTCTGACCCAGAAAGAGTAATAAGAGTAATATTAAAAACTTAGTAGCGGCCGCCATTGTTGAAAACTGGAATTGGCTGGGCCGTGCTATGAATTCTGGGATATGGTGGGCCACGAAGGACACACCCGACCCATCCTTGAAATTCGGGGAAAAGGAGGACGCATTTGTCGGCCGCATTCGGAGGAGTCTACAAATTTGGACAGCCTCCATCGCGTCTCTGTGACGCGTCGCTGCATCCTCCTGAGGCCTACAAATGCGACCTCAGGAGGATGCAGCCCATGAATTTGGACACGACCATGGTGTGTTATGTGGCTAGCTACAAAGCTACAGTTAGGATAATATAAACACATTAGCACAGTGAAGCTGGAGGACAAACGCTAACTTTTTTCCCCTCAATAAAAGTTCATGTGAGGGCCCTGATGGGCAGATCCAAATGCAATTGCCTGGCAGGAAAAAGATGCTGAAATCTCCAGCACAAGGTAAGTCATTAATATAGTGCTGCATGGTTTGGATGACTTTCTATGAAAAATTCCTGATCCTCAGCTCCATGTACCCATTCAAAGATTTGTAAGTCTCAGAGTGATTCTTTTCTAACCTGTTCAAATATTTGTTGTCTGGCAAACAGTGAGGCAACGGGCTGTAGTTACATCGCAAGGTTTTACAAACTGAGCTTTAAAACATGCTGATGAATAGTGATGATAAAAACCCAGAGAGGCTCATTGACTATTCTTAGGGGGTTGTTCAGATTAGAGCAGGATATAAAGCATTAAAACACGTAAAAAAGACAGCGAGTCAAAAAGACAAAAGAGTCCTTCAGTTGATTCGTCACTCATCACATCAAGTTTTAAGACACCAAGGTGGCAATAACAAATGCTGAGTTTAAGTCTTCACAGCAGGACTTGACTAACTGATTGGTGATAGTATGGTGGTTTCAGCCATTGTTTATTTGTAGTCTTTGGTCAAAGCTACATGAGCTACCTGTCATGCCGTCATGTGACTGACTTTCATCCCCATTCTGATGCTCAAGCTGAAATTAAAATTGGCGGTGTAATGGTGTATGTCCATTCCTTCAGGACCACAATACACTCATCTGATGGCTGCTTCCAGCAGAAAAAGGCTCCATGTAACAAGCACAAATCAAACTGGTTGCTTGAACATGTGAGTGAGTGCACTGTCACTAGATCTCAATCTAATAGAGCACCCTTTGGAATATGGTGGAGCTGGAGAGTCACATCAAGGATATGCAGCAAAAAATGTACCAGGTTTGATACAAAAAAAATCCAGAAAGAGACCTGTTCTTTACTGTTACTAAACATAGTGAAGCTGAAAACCAAAGAAAAGTTACTGAAAGAAACTACTGGGAGTTTTTTTTTTTTCATGTTCTTTGGATGTTTAAGCCGTCTTCATTTCCATGGCAAGTCACTTCCAGAAATTTGACCTTCCTAGATTGCTTCCCTCAGAATTTGACGCACAGTGACCCTGACATTAATGCTTTAAGGAAGCATTATGTGTATGGTAAGGACACAACATGCAAACTAAAGCAACGGGCAGAGGGATTATTACTCAAGAATCAGTCGTATCAAGGCTGTTTTGACACCTTTTTAAGGTAAAATATTTTAAGCAGAAAATGGGACCTGATAACAGGAAGAATCTCGCTGTGTTCAAAGAAATAAAAAAAAAAATTAGGAAAAACTAAATTGTACCTCATGAATGCACTGTGCTCTCAAATAAAGGGGCTGGCTTGCTTTTTTTACACTAAATTATTAAGGAAAAATGACCTAAGTGGGAATACATTTACAGCACACACATAGCTGCTGAGGCGATTATCCTGCACACAAATTAAGCATACACGTACTTAAAACATTTATTGCAGTAGCTGTATACCTGTAGAGTAGTAACAAGGATTAACTGTTCAGTATCTGTGTTGTCAAACACCCTCACAACTGACAAACATACTGCGATAAGCAAATCACTCCATCCCACTTAACTTCATTATATTGTGACATAAATATGAAAGTGCTTTACAAACTGAATCTCTCCTTAATGCACAAATCAACGCTATTCCAACAAAGTAAAATGACACAAAAATGATCAAGTTAATTTTAAAAGCTATATCTTTTAGCATGCTTTTTCCATTGTGTAATTTGCCCTCCATGCTGTGGAATAAAACAAACCTTTTCAGACAGTGGAATGACAGAAAATGGTCTCTCATGGTTAACCCATTATCTGCACATGCCTTTGTGTTTTTCTTCAGTATCATCTACTTGATTTTGTACTTTAACATGTGTGTGATTATGTCTCTAAATTTGGCAAACATTCAATGCGTAAGGCATTTGATTATCATACAGAATATTCTTTGTAGCCAACATGTTGTCATTGAAATAAGCACAATTCAGTATTTGAAGAAACATCATGAAGGCACAGTGATTAAAGTGTGATCTTAACCTGTGTTTTCTTATGTATGGAAAATAATAGTTTGTGTGGAAATAATACAGATATATACATATGCCAGGAAACTGCAGATACTACTGAGGGATTTTTCTCAGTCAAATCACAATTTGAATAAAATCTATACAGTAATAAGATCAACATTAGATAAAACATTTAGCCATTTACAAATATATTGCTATTTAATTTGTACTGAACACCTTCAAAACTGGTTTATGGAGAGCTTTCAGAACTTTTCATTTTTATAATGCACATATTGAGCACTGACATCCTTCATACAAAACATTTTGCTTTTTTGTTTTTTGTTTGTTTGTGTTTTTCTTTTGTTTTTTATAGAAAAAAAGATTTGGTTGTGGTTTTGCATTACTTGAAGAAAATTATTAAGAAATATGGGCAACACTGGGTATATTACGAGATGGAAAATTTGCTTAAATCAACAGTATTTTTTCCAAGAAATACATAAATGTCTTGTTGTTGTACATTTTCCCTTATTATAGAGCTCAGTCCAGCTAAAATCCCAAATTCTGATGACAAGGCATTATAATGATAACGGCCAAAAACTGTCCTATTCACTTTGGATATTACAGATACATGATAGTGGTTAATAAGTCTTATTTACAAACACAGAGACAATGACAGAATAAACAAGTGTTCACAAACAGTGTTAGAACAACACTTTCTGAAGTGTAATTCCATTTTCTTTGATTGTGTCGATTAAATATAGTCCTGAACAACTCAATAACAACCACACCACAAATTATTGTATATATTGGTCAGCCATGGTAGTTTTTTTTTCCTTTCTTCTAATTTCTTTTAATTTATGCACGTCCCCGTGGCACTTGTCCAATTCACACTCAACAAAAAAACCTTGCTGAATGTTAAAGAAATCCATAGAGGATCACACACACAGTTTCCTCTAGAGCCATGGTAACACAGCATAAGCACTATTTTGTGACCACCATAGTAAATGTGGCTCTTACACTGCAGAAGCATCAACTTAAGCGCGAAGAACAGAAATAAGAGAGAAAAAATAAAATGGGGAGGAGCTCCGATGATTGCTCCGCCTGTTCACTGTGTCCAGATGTAAGGACATCTAACAGCACAGAAGGAAAGTCCCTCTTATAGCTGCTGGTCCTTTGGGCTGTCTGGGCAAGAGGCTGGCTGGCAGGACTTGAGACTCACCAGTGGAATATCAGCCATGCCACTGCTGGTGAAGTGTCCCTCCCCACTTCCAAACTGCTTTCTGTCACCAAAATGCTCTGACCGCCCACTCTCATTTTTCCAGGTTCTGCTCAGAGTATGTCCATTGAGCAGTTTGTCCTTGGGACCCCACTCCCTCTGAGACCCGAAGCTGGTTACAGGTGACTTGGGCTGTTGGTATGTTCCCAGTGTTGGCGGCATCCAGCAGTTGTCTGAATGTCCCAGGACAAGGCACTCCTGTGTACACATCTCTGTAGCTTCCACTAGACCGCGTGGTCCAAGGGGGCCATCTAAAACAGAAGAACCAGAAAGAGAGTTGTTATATATTTTGCTGTTCTCGCTGAACGTAAGGTTCTCCACTCCAGAATAGCCCAGAATATGGGAGGGGGAACTTCGCATACTTTAGTGATTCAGAAAACAAGCTAGGAATGTAACAGAGAAGGAGATTTGCTTTGGGGAGCTGGGAGACATGGTAGTGCTATAGATCTTAGGAAAGCCACCGTCTGGCAGATTTAAAATTGTTTCTAATAGTCTTTATTATTTATTTGTTAATCTAAACAGGTTTTTAAACACGTCAGCCAACGGTTATGTTATAAGCTATTCAAAGGCATAGAAGTTCACTAATTCCTTATTGTAAATCATGTTGCTGTCTCCACTATAAATGATTTTCTGGAAATTAGCCTACCTCACTTCACCTAAACCGGGAGGTGGGGGGAAGAAAGTTGAAGGACAATTTGCATCACAACAAATCATCTTTCCTTGCCAGCTCTCTGCCACCATCTGGCTACTCCTTGGCTGAACATACATCACCATCAAACAGTAAATATTTCAGGTGGTATTTGTTGAAATCTCATTTGATAGAAAACATGCATAATGCATGAAACGTAATGGAATTCTCCCATTTGAATAAATCTCCTTCTTTGAATCAGTTTTATTTTCTTAAAATGAAAAACAAAGCAGTCATGTTTGTGTTTGTATAGTATAGCATTAGTGGGTAATTAATTCATATGGGGTTTTTTTCTGTTTCACCTAAAAGAGAAAATTATACCTATTTGTCCTAATTTGTCCCTTTGCTTCACAAACTGCTAATCGGCTGGTGCATCAGCTAAAAGGGGTTGCTTTTTTGTTTTTTGCAAACCTGGGCATGAACTGGTTTTTCTCCTTCTTCATTTACATATATACAATTTCAGATTAGTTATGTTACAAAGATATACCAGAAAATGGTATAGAGTGGTAAAACTTTTTTGCTAATTAAAGTTTAACTTAATATTCAAATGCCAGCATCAGTGAATGGTCAAAGCCTTGCTGCAATGTTTACAGTGTGCTAGGTCTGCTGAGAATCCATAACAAACACTTTTGGCTTAGAATAACATCATCACCTAACTGTTTTAGTCTGCTGACCTTTAAGGTCTGCATAACCTTTATCCTGTACCAATGTGATCAGAAAATTCAGCCGTAAACATTTCAAGATCAGTTAAACATTTTGCATTGAAAGCAACCTTGCTGTACTTTACTTCTGGGATTAATTTTGAAAAACACTGGAAATGTCTAAGAACCAAACTCACTACAACAGGCAGCTACTTTTATATTGAAACTGTTTTTGTGAGCTCTGTCAAAGACTTCTAGATGGATCAATATAATAACAACACAATAATTAGTAAATGTTAATGCTAAAATGCAATTGTGTGTATGTTTAGCACTGACTTTTAAGGGATTTTGATACATAAAACACCCACTTCATATAAAATATTGAGTCTGTAGTTCAAATTGCGATTTCATATTTTCAAAATTGATGTTGAGGTAACTGTAATCTAACATGATAGTCTTGGATTATGCAACACAGCATACAAATTGACATTTACATTTTTTATATTTGGAGATTCACATATTGTTTGTTTATGACAGTCACTGCTTGGCCTATAAACCTTTTTATAAAGCTCATCTTGGGCAAAAATAAAACTGTTTTGCATGAGGAGAGCAATTTTTTCCTATTGCTATAATTATTCATGTCTTCTGATCCAAATGGGAACATTTTCTCATACTCCACTAAGCCTCGCTTCTTTAATACTGCTTTCTGACTTTTACAGCACATACTGGAAAATGATGTGAAGAAAGCAGAAGCAGGAGTCAGTCACTCTTCTGTGTGAATGTAGAGTCCATCACAATAACAGGCACCCATAATTGGCATATGAGGAGTATAACCAAGATACACATTATCATAGTTGCATGAAGAACCACAGAGAGCAATAATACATGGTACCCAGGAGACGGCAAGATGAATTCCTCAAATGAAATTGTAGATGAGTGAGTAGATATCTGGGGAACTCTTAAGGAAGAGAGATGGTAAGAAGGAAAAATGCCGTGTACATATACAGTACATGGTGTGCAGTTGAGAACAAATGAACAAGAAAGAAGGCTCCCATTTGCATCTACTTTTTTTAATAAGATAATAATGACGACATTAAAATCATTATGTCTCTGATGGCATTTCTTCTAACTTTGCAATCACTTGAGAAATAATAATGTAATAACACAAGGTTGTAAATTAGACTATATACATATGATGAATTTGGACTTTGTGTATTGATTACAGCAGGATCAAATGACTGTAATGTCTATGTTTCCTGTTTAATTTTGATTCCTTTTTTAACAAAGCAGAGCCAGTGATTAATCAAGAACACTTTGTGCTTTGCTTTTCCCCTGGTGTAATAAACATGACCATTTGCATGCAGATTGGTACAATCAGTGGCCCCAGTGGGCAGCAGAGGATAATTTGAATCAGCCATTTTCACCGTTAATCTCTGTATACCTGCTGTTTGAGAAAATGCAGAGACAAAGCCTGATTGAAAAGACCACTTGAGGTATAGAGCTGATAGGTTACAAAATCTATTCATATACAAGAGTCTTATAATACCGGCCTATAATTCCCATACAGGGAAAGCAAATGAGTAGGGAAGTCAAAATAAATTGGATACCTAAATATAAAGGATAAAAGATTGAAATGTCCACATTCCACTGTACCCCAAGAGATGCTATGGAAAATACAGTAACATGACCATACATTGCAAAATAAATCAATCCAATAAAACATATGACAGGATTATCAGAACACTGTCCCTTCAGGTTTTTAGTCTTTTTTTTTAAAACATTTATCTGAGGCACTGTTAGTAAAGCAACATATTTAAACTTCAGCAACAACTCCAGGATATCACTTCGCTATTACCAGCTTAATAAAAGTTCTGTGGTATATCACTCTCCAGGAGCCCGACTCCACACTTCCAAAAATGAAAGAAATGGAGAGTATTTAAAACTCAGACTCAGCAGACCAATTTCAAACAAAACCAAAACACCAGCAATCCTTCTTTACTGGCTCCCCATTGATGCACGCATGCGAACGGAGCCCTGTTCTTAAGTGTGCAGAAATATGTGAGTCTGTTTAATTGAAAGTACACTGTAAGAGCAGGAATTTTATCCCATTAGTCCACGTTGCCCTGGAGAAGACTTTTTGACACTGCAAGAGAATGCCTCCTCTTAGAGTGGGTGAAACCCATTTATTAAGAACAAAACCCTCATTTTAGCCAGCATTATTATTTTTCTTTATATTTTTTTAATACTTTTTGTCATGTCCTTTTTTTTTGCTGGACTAGTCACAGTTTCCATATCCATAATCAATATGCACACGTAGTTAATTATGCATTTTTTAAAATAATTTATTTTCCTTTCATTGCTCTTTATTTTAATCTTACCTGTTGATTGGGCTCAATTACCGAACTGGATAACATTGACTACCAGCACTTATTAGCTGCTAACTTTTCCTGGTTATCTTGTTCCGAAGAAAAGCTTCCCTTTTTGCCTCATTACCTTCTGACTTCCCAACTCTGTTCTCAGAGTTACATCTCATGTCATGTAATACAATTCGGAGTGGGCTGGTGATGGACCATATAATTCATGAAACCCAGTTTCCTATTTGGATTGTAATTTATTTAAACATTCTTGCATAATAACATGGCTGCACATGCCAAACGTGTAATAAAAAACCTGTCACTGGTGAATGGGAATACTCCAGAGGATGTCAAATAACATCTTGTTACTCCTACTGAATCCTGAAGAGCGCTGGACGGACGAAAAACACCAGCAAACCATAACATCACAACATCAACAGACGGAGTATGAATTCCTTTTGTGACTTGCGAAGTAATTGTAGAGAAAATACACCTCAGTGTCTCTTTTGTACCTTAGCTAAAGTTTAGCTATAAACATAGCTTTCCTAAGTCACAGAGAAGTTCTTTTAATATACTGATGTTATGAACAAACAGATAGAGAAACAGAATTGTTTTCCGAATCTCCTGCCTAACATTATTGCGTTTTTGTTCATGTTTTTTTTTTAAATACAGACAAAACGTGTCATTTGGAAACAAAACCAAAATACCCTAAGCTTTTTTAAGCTTTTTAATTCAGCTGATTTCACAAGTACATGGCTCTACTGCATAAATAAGGAGTATAGAGTATATGTAAATTAATGTTCCTTTCATTCATACAAAATTGTTTTCACATTATTTATTTCTACTTTATCTCTGCATAGTGTGTTGCTCATGGTTACTGTGCTCAGGAAGTCAAATTCCTCCCTGTGCTTGCACACACACACACACACACACACACACACACACACACACACACACACAGAAGTATAAAATAAAGACCGGGGCAAAGCTCAGCGCGAG